TTTCCAAGGAATGCATATGAGGGAGTCATCATCGATCCGAGCACGTGCTGGGACACAGGACCTGTGAGCAAGGCCAGCTGGGCGGGTCACTGGGTGACCCATGACCTCCAGAGTCCTCAGAGGCTGGGAGGATCCACATCGAAGCCACTGAGCAAAAGGGACAATTGTTCCACTCTTGGGAACCCATGAGCCATTCAAGATATCCAAATGAGCCCCCAACAGTAGCTCCATGGAAACCAGAAGCCAATGGTGGCACTCAGTCCACAGGAAGCTTTACCTGCCTAAGTGATCCCAGGCACACTCAGGGCCACACCTCTTCTGGAACTCCCAGGAGCCTCCAGTCATCCAAGGAAAGAAAGGTCTTTTGCTCTTGGCTGACGAAGAAGCTTGAAACGCACTTGACCTGAGAAGTGAGAATAAATGAGATGCTCGTTGAATAAACATCCCCATGTCCTCAGTTAACAAGATCATGTCAAACTTTCCAGTGGTGGAAGCCTTGCAAAAAATTGTCACACACTTCTGTCCCTGAAGAATGGGTAATACTCGCACAAGTGTGACCAAGGGGAAGCTGTCCCTCACCCCACCTTCCTGGGATAGTCAACGTGCTGGACCTCAGATTCGATGAGAACGACGGTATTGGAGTTCTCACTCATTTTGTTCAGCTTTTCCAAGGAATGCATATGAGGTAGTCATCATCGATCCGAGCACGTGCTGGGGTGCAGGACCTGTGAGCAAGGCCAGCTGGATGGCTCACTGAGTGACCCGATGACCTCAGGGTCCTCAGAAGCCAGGAGGATGCACATCCAAGCCAGTGAGCAAATGGGACAGTTATTCCGTTCTTGAAAGGGAACCCTCAAGCCATTCACAACACCCCCATGAGCCTCCTATGGAAGCTTCATGGAAACGAAGCTGATGGCTCTACTCAGACCACAGGAAGCCTTACCTTGCTAAGTGATCTCAGGCATGGTGCACACTTGGGGCCACGCTTCTTCTGGACTCCCAGGAACTTCCGGTCATCCAAGGAGAGAAAAGTCTTCTCTTGGCCAGAGAAGAAACTTGACATGAACTTCTCCTGAGAAGTGGAGAGAAATCACATACTCCTTAGAGAAACATCTCCAGGTCCTCGGGTAACAGGATTCATGTGAGCCTTTCCCAGGCAGTAGGCCTTGCATCTGATTGTCACTGAGAGTGTGTTGTTGGCATGAGTGTGGCCAAGGGGAAGATGTCCCTCACCACACCTTCCCTGGGGGAGTCAACGTGCTGGACCTCAGATCCGATGAGAACGACGGTAAGGAGTTCTCACTCATTTTGTTCAGCTTTTCCAAGGAATGCATATGA